GGGCAGGGACACCTTCCACTAGACCAGGTTGCTCAAAGCCTCATCCAGCCTGGCCTTGAACACTTCCAGGGATGGGGCATCCACAGCTTCTCTGGGCAATCTGTGCCAATGCCTTACCACCCTCTTTGTGAAGAACTTCTTCCTGATATCTGAGCTAAACCTCCCCACTTTCAATTTAAACCCATTACCCCTTGTCCTGTCACTACAGGCCCTTGTAAAAAGTCCCCCCCAGCTTCCTTGTAGCCCCTTCAGGCACAGGAAGGTGCTATAAGGTCTCCCCGGAGCCTTCCCTTCTCCAGGCTGAACACCCCCAACTCTCTCAGCCTTGCACCGCATAGCTAATGGTGACACGTTCTGGGACTCTCTAGAAGTCTGGGAGGTACGGGCGTTAGATTTACTTCACTTTCTTGGAAGAGACACATGAACCTTGTCAGCTGGCCAGGAGGAGAGGAAATCTGGCAGTGCTCTTGCTGAGCCAGCCAGGTTACTACCGCGTTAAGTGGTTGTACTTCAGTGAACCACCAGAAATGGCAACGCGCAAGCACGGCACCTGCACGGCGGTGCTAGAGAGATCATTTAGGGGCCTTTTCAGTTACAGAATTATTTTCTTTAGCAAAAGAGAAGAAAAGATAAAGAATTTCAAGAATGTTTTAGCGACGTCAGGGTCGTGGAGGATAAAACTACCCTTCAAAATGCCTGCACCAAACCTCCTCGGTACTTCTGATGGTGGCAAATCAGTGCTCTGCCGTGGTAAATACCTGCTGTCGGTTACGTTTTTAATGCAACCTTTCAAAATCTCATCGAGCCTTTTAACAAACCGTGAGTTAGTTTAGATAACGAGCAAGTGACGCAAAGTCTTTGTGATCCTTGTTACCGCTTTGGTCAGAACAAGGCTGCTCTTGCACCGGAGCCGTTGAATTTTGATGGCAAGTTCTCAGGCTCTCCATCCGCACGCTGTTGCCTACACAATCCATTCTGAGTCGCCGTAGGAACACGGCTTTTATTTCCACCCTGCACATCCTTTTCATGTTTTCCTTTCATGCCTCTCCGCCAAGTGTTACGTGAGGGACAAATGAAGTTGAAGGCAGGGGTGAACAGAGCGAGGAGGAGTAGGGCGGATAGAGTCAATACCAGCGGCCGAGGCTCCTGATCAGATCTGGTTTAGGTGTAAAACCGCGCGCATCGGTTTAGCTGAGGTGGGAGAGCCACACCACGCACTATACAGGGCTGCGCTGTGTAGGATGTGGGCTCCTAAATGAGCATCTCTGGTGCAAACCCACGAGTGGAGAATGCAACGCAGCTCCTAGGGCAAAGCTGTGCTCTAAGGAAATCTGCTTTTCATATGCTCTCGCGCTACCTAGTTAGCCCTCCCCCCTTACAGTGCCCGGTATTTATGTTTCCAGATAATAATGATGTGATGTGGCTGGCAGAGTAATTTAAATAATTGGACATTATCTTGAGAAGCAAGCACCTAATTAGATCAAAATAAACTGAGAACTGAAATTTTCATCTGTTTCTAATAACCCTTTACCTATGTACCATATCGCTGCCGTGGCAGAGATTTCATTATTCACACCACTGTGTACACGGAGTTCACTAGTGATGGAGACGCCTGCGAGATCAAAGAGCTTGGTGGCGATTTTTGGCCAAGACTTACTGGCTCATTCCCATCCTGGTACATGGAGTAGTTTGCAACCTTCCTCGGTTGTATTTGTCCCTGGTATAACCGGTGAAGTTTGCATCAGCAGTCTGGGTTTGAATGGATGGATAGCTTCAGAGATAAAAATATCAAAGAAAATCGGATCTTATAACCATACTTTTTCTTTCTCCAAGTTTATCCAGGAGTTTAATCTCTGAATTCACTTGTGCATATGCACTGAAAAACCAGCAGCCAGCATGACCGCTGAAGAAAAGATAAGTCATTGTGTGTAGTACGGAAGAGGCAGAGGCAGCTCACGCGGTCTCCAGCGTTAGGTATGGTAGGGACCATCTGAGCGCAAGATGATGTCGCCTCTCCAGCACACAGCTTTTAATCTGGTCCCGAAAAAAAGCACTCGACTGAATTTTGAAAGTTGAGTAAAAGAGCCTTGTTTTGGCTTTGGCAAGTACAACTGAATGTCTCTGGCATTGAGGGAGTCGTTTAGACCAGGCAAGGGGAGAAAGCAAGAGGGAAATATTTGCTGGCAGATACAAGTTTCCTTTATTTTTAGGGATTGGTTCAGTGTCTTTCTCCTGATCGGTTGCTCTTCCTCACATTTCCTCATACTCTTATTCAGTTGATTTATTTAAAGGTATGTCAGGGCTGGCTGAAATGAAACACTTTGCCTCTTCTCCCTGCTTATTGCTGACCGCTCCAATAATTCATTTTTTAGCTCATTAGCTAACAGGGGATGTGAGCAGTGGTCCTCCAGGGAACTGCAAGGAGGTTAAGTGATCTACTGCTGACAACTCTGCTCTTGGACTGGCCTTCCTTGGGGGAAAGGAAACCTCAACCAAGACCAGCTGTGGATCCCAGAAGTGAGACTGGGGCATCAGAGCAACAATTGCAGTATTTATGTCTTCTTGTCGGGATTTCTGAGATGAATGCGGGCGGCAGAGCTGAAGCTGTCTTCCAGGAAAGTCCGTTCAGAATGAAGTGGTTTGTGTCAGGGACGTGGGGAGGATGCCCATGGACGTTGGCTTTCTGGATACTCATTCAAAAGCAGTCCCTCTACGTTTTGGCTGTCCGTGAGGTGTGGGCGAGCGTGCTTTTCCTCCTGCCTCTGTCATAACGTTTCGTTTTCTACCTGACCATCCAAATGGTGCATCATTGTTGTGCCCTGTTTGGACCATTGAACAAGACCTAAATCTCGCTCAGTAGCTGTCAGTGACGTGCTGCCCCCAAATGTCTGAGGCTTTTAAAACACCTGTATTTTGTGTGTAGCGTTTGCTGTGTTCCCACCGCAACCCCTAACGTCACTCCAAGGGTAGAATTAGACCTTCGTGACTTGAGTCTTTTGCTGCCCTGCGTGCTCAGGAAAGATTAGGCAAACTGAAGTGAGGTAAAGTCACCGCGTGCAAAGGTTGGGTTTTTAGGTGAGCAGGACAGCGAGCATCTCCTGAGAGACCCGACATCTCCCGAGCTGAACTTGGCATATATTGTCGCTATTTTGGTACGTATCACAGCGTTGCTATTAGGCTCTAAGGTGAATTGTGACGAGTGGGAGACTTGTGTAAAACAGCTTGTTTTCTAAACAGGAAGGGACTTCTCTTCAAGCCAGGGTGATCGCAGCATCCAGTGCTCTTGCCAGGAGCCAAAAGTTACTCAAAAGATGGTCTGGGGGAGGAGGGATTTGTTTGCAGACTCTGTATGTATTTTAAAAACATAGAAGTGCTTTACTAAACATTCTTGAAGATACACTGGATGGTTACTGGACTTAGAAGTGTTGCAAGAGTGACCATTTTATTGTAAATAATTACATGTGCATTGCTTTAGCCCCCTCATTGCACTGGTTTGCTTTTTTTACCTTAAAAAAAAAAAAAACCCACAAACACAGATAACAGGAGTTAAGGATGCAATAGTAACAGAAATCCTTTTCTTCCTCCTCTCCATCTGGAATACCTGAAATGATACTCTGTTTATCAGATCCACCATCAAAGGTTAATTTGCAGCTCCCCAAATGCAGGTTTGTGTTGGGTTTGGTGTGTGTCTTTTAGCTGGCAGGAGTCATTCAAAGGTTTCATTTAAATGAAGCACTCTTTGTGTTCATTTTCTGTTTGCACTTTTGCTCTGAAAAAAAGCCCCTTCCCCCCGCTTCCCTGGACCTGTTTGTAAGGTAAATTGTGGTGAGGAAGAGAAGGGGATGCTTTGGGAAGCTGTGCCTGAAAGCATGAGGGAGGTCAGAGCAGGGTCACTCCGCTTGTACCAGGAAATGATGCAAAACTAATCCAGATTTGCTGTTGGAAGGATCTGTTTACATAAGTATTTAAAAACAGATTAGGGCTAACCTGACACTAGATTACTGGGAATAGTGTAAACAGGGCTGAAAGGCGTAAACAGAGCTTTGCCTTTTGTCCTCCAGAGGAGAAAATCTGTCACCAGTAACAAGGTGCCTGGTTTAGGTGATGTGTATGGATTTCACAGGCTGGACAGATTACCTGAGGTACCTCTAAATGGTACTTTGTCTAGGGCCACATCTCTTAGATCTTGTAATTGTATGGTAATTTTTTTAATGGAGAGTTGAGGGGCTTGTTTGTAGTCCTTGTTCTCCTGTAACCTAATAGAAAGCTTTTGCTATTTTTTTGAGGTATCAGGAGGAAATGGTGCTTCAAAGTATTGTTTTGGTGGTTTGCATTTTGGGGGGAAAAAAAAAACCCAAAACACAGAAGAACCATCCGTATGCCTTCTGCACTGGAAACTCAACTTGTAGGAGGAAAAAGCACCCCTGCAAGTGAGGCTGTGTCTTTCAGGGCTTGCTTTCCTGTCAGAAATGCAAGCCCGGGTGCTTGGTTACTTCTGGGCTTCGATACAGAGATTCGGTGCGTTTTCTGCAGTGCGTTTTGCAGCACGACCTGAGGGTGGGACCAGGCTGCCTGTTTGGGCTTCGGTCTTCAGGGCCGTGAGGGCTCTTGCGTTGGCCTCTTCCCAGTCCTGCGGGCAACTCGGGGCTTTTTAAGACCTCCTGGCTGTTGTGATCTTACAACCCCGTAGGCATGGCACCCACCGATGGGGCTAGAATCGTTTAGGTTGGAAAAGACCTTTAAGATTGTGAAGTCCAACTCTCAACCGTTGCAATAATACAGCTCGGTAATGAGGAGATGGGTGACACAGGTCTCGCCCCAGAGATAAGTTTGGGCTGAACTGTTTCCGTGAGGGCCTTCTTACCAAAAATTTGAAGGGGGAATAATTCTCACATTGGTTAACTGCTGTTTGTTAGCATGATGATAGCCAAAGCTGAACTTGCGTCATTTTACAGTCAACAAGTTGAGATAGAGTGACCTCTCTCCTTTGGCTTTTCCAGGGAAGAAAAAGAGCGCTGGATACGTGCGAAATATGAGCAGAAGCTCTTCCTTGCCCCGCTGCAGTGCCTGGAGCTGTCTCTGGGCCAGCATCTCCTGAGGGCTACAGCCGAGGAGGACTTGCGGACGGTCATCCTGCTCCTTGCCCACGGGACTCGGGAAGAGGTGAACGAGACCTGCGGAGACGGTGATGGGCGCACTGCCCTCCACTTGGCGTGCAGGAAAGGAAACGTGGTGTTAGTGCAGCTCTTGATTTGGGTAAGTACTTGGTGTCTGGGGAGGGGTCTGGCTGGGTTGGCTTTCGCTTGGCTGTGTCCCTCAGCAGGAGCTCCTACATCTCCTTCCTGCGGGTTGCACAAAGCCTTTGCTGGTGTCCCGAGCCTGGATGTTCCTCGCTGCATGATTTCAAAAGAGAGCATCAAGATAAAGTATGTTTCTGCCTGCCTGGTGCTTGATGGGAAGGAAAGGAGGGTGTAAGAAATGAGGAAGGAGAGATTGAAACACCAGCCTGATAGATTTTGTTCCACACGCGAGGGTCTTTCCCGTAGGAACCTTTACGCCCGTGACTCAGTTATGGGGAATGAGGAAGGAGAGATTGAAACACCACCCTGATAGATTTTGTTCCACACGCGGGGGTCTTTCCTGTAGGAACCTTTACGCCCGTGACTCAGTGCTGCAGTGCTCACGTCATCAGGCTGGTATCCTGCCTGCTCCTTCACTTAAATTCAAGCCTGTCTGTCCCAGATCCACCCTCCCCGTTTCTGTTGGCACCGCAGCTTCCAACAACACGTCTCTTCTTTCCATAGTACGGCGTCGACGTGATGGCACGCGATGCCCATGGAAACACAGCGTTGGCCTACGCCCGGCAGGCCTCCAGCCAGGAGTGCATCGACGTTCTCCTCCAGTACGGCTGCCCCGACGAGCGCTTCGTCCTCATGGCCACTCCAAACTTGTCCAGGAAGAACAATAACCGGAACAACAGCAGTGGAAGGATGCCCACCATCATCTGAGGAGCTCACTCGTGTATTCGCTGACCTGAATTACATCCGCAGCCTCATATTCCTCCATCCCCATCACAGCTCTGCTCTGTGAGTCTGGTAACTCTCCTTTTCCCTTTTCCCTTCGGTACATCCCTGTCCCATCCAGTAACGGCACATCTAGAGAGCGCAAGGGGATGAGAAGGAGCAAAAGGGGCTGCAGAGAAAGCAGTTGTTTCAGTGGCAGCTCTCGAACGATGGAAACAAGCGGGCGAGAGCGCACGGGTTGAGCAGGACACGCCGTGCGTGGCACCGGGACCATGGGAGAGCGGTCGTCCCCGGGGAGGGGGGACGATGCAGGCTCCCCGAGCGTGGAGGGAAGGGGCGGAGGGAGAGGCGAGCGAGAGGAGAAGGAAGGAGAGATGGTGACTTTCCGTAACTGACAGTTAAGCACATCAGTACATTTCACCTCTACCAAACGCGACGCCTGGATTTCATTCTCTTCTCTGAAGAGCTTGACGGCATAAATCAGAAGCAAGCACAGAGTTTGTCAGGTTTGAAGCTCCTATGATGGTATGTGTCAAATCAGTTGTAGCTAATCTGTCCGGGGAGAATACTGGCTTCATTACACTTGTATAGTTGAGTTCTTCCAGCATTACCGCTGTTTAATAGAACATGATTAGTCATCACGGAGAAAAAAGCATATTAGCTGAGGAGGTAGTTACATGGCACGCTTCGGTGATTGCTTGGATGTGATTGCAATATTCTTAGAAGCATCATATTATCTCAGACATGTTCTCTCAAGCCCTTGGAGCCCTCCTTTCTAAATTCACTGTCATAATTTAGTATCTGTTTAATTTTTCAGTCCAAAGAGAGGAAATGAGTTGCTGAGTGTTATTTGACTGCAGTCTCCTTGGTGTAAAAACAAAATGGAAAAAATAAATAAGAGTAACTATGAAACACAAAAAGGAATAATGAATACCGCTAAGGAAAAACATTTCAAGTACGTTCAGTGAAATTAATAAACGCATTAAAGGCTAATTTTTTTTTTTTTTTTCCAGCCAGCACAGAAATAGGTTCTGTCATTTTGCCAAGGTAAACGTGTTGAGTTTTTGGTCACTCCTGTGATGCATTGCCTAACTTATACAGATTTTTGTATTGTGTCTCTAGATTATATGTATGTAAAATCTATTTGAATAAAAAAAACCATAAATATGCATTGATTTTTTTTTTTGTACAGAAAATTACATCTCTGTTAATTTATAAACTGTAATGGATGTGAACTAAATAACGTGCAACTAGTTAGGATCTGTGGGTTACAGATCATTGTACATTGAAAATATTCCTAGCAGTGAACTCTCGTTCCCATCGCAAGCCTTTGAGGAACATATCAGAAGGAGATTTCGGCGCGTTTGGCAGCAAAAAAAAAAATGCGTACAAGACCTTTTAGAAAGGAAAAAGCGGCTGTTTCTCAGCGCCGTAAATATGTTTTAGTCCAGAAGTCATGAAGCTTTCACAAGCCAAGACAAAAAGCCCTAGTCTGGCTGTGGGAAGATCAGATTTGATTAAGTTCAGAATTGATAGCCTTCACCGCGGCGGGCAGGGCATGGCTGCGCTTGACTCCCAACTTGGCTGCTTTCTGGAAGAAAAATGGCTTGTGAAAGTAGCCTGGACAGTTCATTTGAATTCCAAGTTTTAATACTTGATTTGATTATTTTGGTATTACCAGACAGATCCTAGCTTCTCCTGTTTTCAACGAGGTAGGATTCTGGCACGGGGAAGCTGGCTTGTAGGGTTTTTGGCAGGTGGAAAAGTGATATTTTTTTTTAAGTGGCATATGGCAATGCGAGGATGGGGGAAGGGCATATCACGGAGAAAGGTGAAAACTCAACTGAATTCGATGGCAAAGGAGCAGTTTTTGTGAAGGCGGTGAGGTGCACCCAGCATAGTAATTTGCAAATCTACCTGCTCCTACGTATTTCCCAAGCCTTCAGCGGTGTGCTCTTCCTTGGGGCTCTGGATTTCATTTGGCACAAAAATGGGAGGAGCGTAGCAATGGCTAAATGAACTCTATGCGGACAAAATGTGAAGGAAAAAATGTGATCTGGTTATCTTAAGGAAATAAAAAATGAGGAAAATTACAGAATTGACGTAAAATCGTGACAGGCGAGCCTCAAGGGGGAAGCACGAGAATATTGACCAGCTTTTCCTGTTTGGTGGTGTTCTGATTTTGTACTTTGTTACTGTATAGAACTTTGGCTATTTGGTGGGGCGGGGGAAAAGGGGAATCTTACTTCAACCAGCCTAGGCTGGCTGCATCAGAGTAAGGCTACAGCTGATTCTCTTCATACCAGGGTAATTTTAATTAATTTGGTTTTTTAATTGAGGAAGGGTGTCTGTTGTAATTGCTATTTCTCCATCATTCCCGTGCAGCTCCCCGATCTTTTGGTACTGACGGGTGGTCCTTCAGTGACGGGACACCCCCTCTTAGGTGCAGCTGAAGGGGATGCTGTGAAGCCCTCTGTGTCTTGGGGCTCACAAGCTTTATACCCCCAGCAGGGGACAGAGCGAGGATTCGGGAATCGCGGCTCCTGGTCCCAGAGGTGCTGTAGCTGCCCGCTGTTCCCCTGGGAGCATCAAGGGCATTTGTACCCGAGAACCAAGTCCAACGTCTCAAATACACGGTAGGCAGATTCGCTGCCGTTCGGTTCTCGGCGCGCGTTCCATTTCCGAGCTGGGTTTTTTTTCCTCATTGCAAATATTTTCTATGTGTAACGTAATGGGGCCACCTTCCTTTGAGAAAGCTGGGAGTGATGTTGGAGAAACCAAGGGCAACCGGGCTGTCGTGCCGATTTCAGGTAGAAGAATTAAAAGCTCCTTTCATAAACATTTTCCAAAGGTGAACATTGAAAAAACAGAATATTTTTAGGGGTGTAAATTCCACCATATTATAGGAAAAATGGTAAATCCGGGCTAGCCAACTAATAACCTCGTACTTTAATTAAGCAGTAGCCAGTTGCTTTTAACCCGAACGTAGGTGTTTTCCCCTTGGCAGTGTAAGCGTTGGCAGTACCTGTGTTGAAGTGGCGTAGACGATGCGATGACTTCCCCCGCACGTTTTGGGATCTGCGTGGAGGATACCCGCTCGCGCACGCAGCAGCAACCCTTTCGATAGACGGGAGGTCACCCAGTGCTGTCTCTCCGAGTCAGGAGACACCACCTCTGGCGCTACAGCTGGTGAGGCTGCAGCCACGGGAGAACAGCCTCCAAGGGTCCCTCCGTTGGGAGGGTTGGCTGCAGCATCCCCGGTTCAGACGGGTTTGGTTTTGGTGTGCGGTTGCGTGGCACCTCCTGAGCTAGTGGGACAGGCCACTTGGAAAGGATCTGGGACAGCATAGAGTCCATCCCCGCCTGGCACGGTGAAGGAGAGGAGGGGAAACCCCTTCCCCCCGCAGCTGGGAGCGAGGACAGAGGGAGGGCTTTGTGGCGGGAGCCCAGCGGGGCTTGGCTCCATGAGCCGAGGTCCTGGGGCTCCGCGTGCTTTTCAGGGATGCGTTTGCGCTTGGCAGAGGAGGTTCTTGAAGACGTCCAGGTGCGGGAGCAGGTGATGGATACCAGCGCTTGGAGAACCGGCAGGAATTGTTCCCCTTGCTTTCCCCATCCGTTTTGTGTTCTTCCTCTCGCGTTTATCCCTTCTGGTGGCTTTTATGGAACCCCCAGGCCGGGCTGTTTCCGCCCTTTGAGCATGTTATGAGCAAATTAAAAACGAATTGAGATCCAATCAATAAGAAATCCCAGCAGAAACATGTTAGCTAAAGCTGTTTTCTCCAAAAACGGAGTCCGCAGCTGTGGTTTTCGTTGCGTCCCCCGTTTAACCCTTGTCACCATCCCAGATACCTTTAAATCCCCCTTCCTCTGCACTTTATCCCCGACGACTCAAACACTACAAGTGAGTCAGCCGTTGCTGTTAACATCAGCACTTTCCTTCTATTTATTTGAAGCTAATTGCTGTTGAACCGTGGAGGTGAGTAGGATGCGTCATATCCGGCTTCTTGATATTCCCGGAGTTGAGAAGATTTTATTTCTCCTCGCTGTTTATGAAGAAATAAGAGCTAACCTTGGGAAAATTCAGGGTCCTGCCACTGCAGAGGTTTGGCCAAGGGCTCCCACTACCAGATTTCCGACGTTATTGCTAAAAGGGGAGCAGAAGAAGAGCTTTTTTTTGGAGAACCGTGGTGTGTTCCGAGCTAGGTGCTGCTCAGAAAGCCAGGTGAGCTCCTGGAAGGGAGACAGGATTTTTAAGCATTTGGGTATCGTGTATAATAACGGTGTAAAAATTAATATTGTTTAATTCGATGTCTTTTTTCCCCGTTTTCCTTAAATTATGTGTGTTAGTGCAAAAAAGGCTTTAGCTGCACATGGAGATCTCCCCTGGCCAGAGGAAGCTGAGGAACATAGGGAGAGGAGTAGAGGTGGGAATGCAGGTACGGGCTTAGAAACGATCTCCGGCACTGTAATGTAGTATAATTAGATTTTATGGGGTTTGGATAGCTTCATAGTTTATATTTGTATGGAGATCGGGAAAAATGAAGTAATTTGTAGTTTCTAGGATAAAGTAGTAATAGTGGAGACAAGCACAGATTTCACAAGGGGGTCCCCAAGGGGCCCTTTCCAAACGTCTCGGGGAGCCGTGTTTGCACCTTAACAGGGAACAAGTGGTCACTGTGGCCGGAGGGACTCGAGGGAAAGGGGGACGGGGTTGGGGACCAACGTTGGGGCAGCCAGGCTGGACAGGAGACAGCTTGCCCGTTGCCGTCTCGTCGCCAAGCATCTTCGTGTCCCCGCCAGCAGCTGCCGCAGCGATGCAGGCAGGGCATCTCCGGCTGTTAGCCTGGGATCTTCCCTTCAACGTCTCCTGCCGTTCTCGGGGATTAGCGGGTAAAATTCACTGCGTAGAAAACCAGGTTTGGATGTTCTTGTGTTTGCTGCATAGCAGGAAAAAAAAGCTCCAGGTTAAAGTTCTTTTCAAGGTACCAAAACATTAAACTGCCCCAAATTAAAAGGTTCTGCAATGAGTTTTGACTTATTAAATTCTAAGATAGAAAAATAAGGTTGCTTTGAATGGTTTTGTTAGAGAATAATGTCCTGTTTGGAAAAAATCCAGGGGTAATAGAGCAAAAGTTCCAAAGCTGTAGGTAGGTAGGTTTGTCGTATCTCGGTATTCTAGGTTTTGGTTTGTTGTGTAGCTTGGGCCAGTTCCTAAAGTAAATACTGGGGGAGGGTCTCACCTCATGATGGTTTACCTTGAGTTGACTGAATCTGTCTCGCTTTTAAAGGGAGGTTTGAAGGGTTTTGGCCAAGATTTTCAGGCGGTGTGAATAGTTCATGTTTTGAGAGGACGGTTGCATGATTTCTGGAAATAAAGGGTTGGTTTGCTGTTTGGGGTTTTTTTTTAAGAGCCGTCTTAAGCCCCGGATCACTTGGCATGCTTCTGGGTGTCTTGGCCCCTGTGTTTCATTTCGGGTGACAGCAATATGTGGGTGAATGAACTCCCATCGTTTACTAATCGTTCCTTGAATGTTGGGGGGGGGTGGGAGGGGAGGGACACTTTTGCTTGTGGGTGGATGAAATGAAAACGTCGTTGTGCATTTCAGCAGTTCTAGCCTCTTCATCCCTCTATGCCCGGCCGTCTCCCGCATCCCTGTGGCACGCTGGAGCGGCAGCGGTCAGTTCTGTTGGCAGGCCGAGCTTCGGCTTTCTCCTGACCACGACCTTTCTGGATGTGTGTTCAGCTGCCGGTACCCAGGATCGACTCTTTTGCAGTGCTTCAGAGCTAGTCGTTCTTACCTGTGTGTTATGTACAAAACGTGAAGGGGTGGTGGGTGGGGGATGCTTACAGAGGTCCAACGGCATGTGTTTGGGATGACCGTGTTGCTTGCTGGCAGGGAATGCACCGTCACTCACTTCTTCTGTGGGTGCCCTGTTTTCCAGAACCGATCGGTGTTTTGTTTTGTTTCCGGGAACCGACGTAGGTGAAAACACTTTTCCTGGTCCTCTTGGATAATAACAAGGTGCAGGGAGTCCAACCCCTGGCAGCAGACCACTTGATAGGGTCTGCTCTGTGCTGAAGGTGAGCCCCAAGCTCGCGCAGGGCCGAGGGAGGGGTTTGGTGCTGAAGGTGGGTTGTTACTTGGCAACTCGTTCCCAGATCTGGGGGTTGAGTTGAGCGGAATTGGCAGATGAAGAGGGTCAGGGTGGCTGGAATCCTACGGCCAAGGCAGCGTATCTCTCGTGGAGGTCACTAACTGTGCGCGCTTTGCATTGGGTGTGCTCGTACGCGCGTGCGTGCTGCGGTTGTGGAAACCTATGTGTGCGCGTT